AAAGAAAAGTGCCATATTTTGAGCTCTTTCAGTAGCAATATGGAGCTCCAAGGAGCCCAAATGCTTCGTCAACGTCCCGCTGTCAGTCCTGAAGCCAGCCAGGGATGGAGGGAAAGATTAAGGCTTGCATCATTTCCTTGTGCACTCCTACAGGCTTGCTTTGCTTCCCATTATTGTCCCAGGTCTGCTCCCGCCTGCTCTGCCCAACAGAATGGGGGACATGAGAGCCAGCCTGGCATTGGGCTCAGGAAAAATCAACCTCCTTCCTCCCTGCTGCCTGCAGGAATAATTCACCCAGAGACAATGTGCTGGCAATGACTTCCCAGCTCAATTTATAGCCTGTCCTAAAACATTTTTTTCCTGCCCAGGTTGAAAGGAGAAGGAAGAAGGGCATCTTGTGTAGAATGTTTGTTTGTTTTTCGGTTGGAATAGGTGTCATTGGTGAGGTTGGTCTAAAGCAGAGGGAATTTGGGGTGTCAACACTGAGTGTGCTCAGTGCATGCTTTCCAACTCAAGTCATTGCTGCAAGTCAGTTATTAAGGAATCACACTGCAGATAAAGAGAGGGGTTGTAAGAAGGTTCAGAACTTCCTAAAAATCTTATGAGATGGTTTAAAAAAATGTTCCAAGGTGTAGTCTGGCTATTTCTTATATAACGTGAGTTAATGAGTTCCCAGGGTACTAGACAGCATTCTTCTATCAGTGGCTTCCTGGAAAAGGAATGAATACAGTCAGATTAGCTCCAGGAAAGTGGCAGCCTTCCCTTCCTCTCCAGATAAGCCAGAAGGGTGCAGCCCATCCCACAACCTGGAGGACATGGTCCATCACCCAGCCACGGCAGACCCACCAGCTTGTGTCCCACAGCAGCTCCCCTCCTTCCCTTTTCTGTACACATCTCTCCCCTTTCCTCCAAACCAGAGCAGAACCTCACACATGTGAGTAACCGAGGCAACTTTCAGCCTTTCTCTTCTAGGCCATGTTAACAACTCGGCAGCCCAGAGAATTTGTCTTGCAATCCCCTCTGAGGCTCAGCTTTCAATTCTCTATTCAAGCAGCATGAATGAACCAAAGCCTTTATTTGCATTCTCTTCAAATTGCCCTCCACCACTAGTATGAGACCTTTGGAAGTTTGTTGCAAGAGTAGTAGAGCCAAGATATTTTAGCTGGGCATGTTGCCCCACCACTACCACAAAAATCACTTCAAAGTAACTGCTGAGTCACAATAAAGGGGGCTGGGTGCATTTACTTCCCTGAGATCACAATGCAAAGCCCATCAGGAGGGAATGGGAAGGGAGGTCAATGGATGCAGCATTCCCTGTCCCTGAGTCACTTCTCCTGCAAGAATTCATACCTTTGGCATCTCCCAAGCACATCTGAGAGCAGTGAATGTCCTGAGTTAATGCACAGGGGTTTGAGGGGAGCTTTGTGAAGAAATCCTACCCTGGAGCCTATTTAAGGACACCCTGGACTGTTACCCATCCTCAAGTTTGGGTGGTGTAGGGACATAAAGCTGCCCATCTGGCAGGGTCAGAAAGCCCCCAGTATCACATTTGCAAGCCAAGGAGCTATGTGCTCCAGCATGTAATGTGTAGAGTTGCCTTCAGTCTCCTTCCCTGGGATCCCAGAACAAAATGGAGAAAAGTACCTTTGTTCTCCTTTGGCCTTCACTTTGCCATAGTTTTCAAAAAGCAAAGAGCTGGCCATGTCTGAGCCCTTGATGTTATTTACAGTTATGGAAAGTAAAGTGTATTAATAAGGACTTCTCTTTTTAAAAAAAAAGTTCTCTCCAGCTTTTACCTTGATGCAGTATTTTCTCCTACACCTCCCTGGGGGCAGTGGTGCTCACCATATGCCATACACCTCCAGGACAGCTCTTGCTTTGGGGAGGAAGGGAAGATCAGCAGCTGCATGTGCTCTGCAGAGTTCAGACTGCCTGGGTCCCCAAAGTAAGAGTGAAGCCATCCCTCCCTCCCTGACCTTCGATGTATCACTGCCCCCTACTCTTCCTTTTTCCATCAAGGGACCTGCTGTTTCCTCTCCCTGGGAGGCACAAAGGCAGGAGAATGGTGGGGAATGGCCATCGTGACCCCTTTCTGCTCCTCATTCTTCTCCTCCCTGCTCCAGCCCCAAGGTAAACACCATCTGGGGCCCCAATGTGTCCAGATCCCCACCTCACCTAACATCAGAGAAAAATATCAGAGTTCATCTTGAGCTGAGTAGGAGAGGATGGTCCTGTCCCATCTCAAGATTTCAAAACAATTCCTACTCTGAGTTTGCTAAAAAACTCCTGGAATTTTTCAGCAGAAGGAGAGGAGTCCACCCCTGGGTAGCCCAGAGCCTGGCAGTTAGTATGTGGTCTTGGGCAACGGGGTGCAGAGGATGAAATCCCTGCTCTGATGCCTGCAGAGCAGGCACCTGAACCTCCCACGTCTCTTCATCCCTTTGAATCCTGCCTTGCTAAAACCAGTCTGGTCCTGTGGGAAGTACTGATTTTGATGAATCAACATTTTCCAGCAAAACCCGTGGCATTTGCAATTTCCCAACAAGTCCTCATTGGGAGCATTCAGAAAAAGCAAGCAAACAAACATACAAGCAAACCAAACAATGGCAGAGGGCAGGAAATAAACCAGGCTTCTCCAAAGAGCTGTCCTTGCCTGAGCAAGGAGTGCCAACAGAAAAACAGCTCTGGGTGGACACAGGAACCACTGTGCTCCATTGTGGGAGCTTGACTTTTCTGCAAGTGACTGGTGGTCCCTTTGGTGCTAAACATGTGTAGGCTACCTCTGAAATGCAATATGCATCTCTGGTATTATGAATGAGGACTCTAGACCACTCCAGTCTGTGCTGGTCTCAGCATGACCCATGTGCTGCATTCCTAGAGGAGCCAGAGGTATGTCCACAGACTTAGCTAAACCCCTCTTCTCCTAGCTGTTTCCATCACCACTATGCAGCACTCAGAGAAGTACTAGTACCAGTCTGGCAGTCAGGCAGTCAAGGTTCCTCCTACACCATCTCCTTCTCCTCCAATTGTCATACTTCCAACCTTTCCTATCAGCAGACCTGTACAATTTTGTCAGGTACAGGTGGAAAAATCATATTTCCACTAGGAAGTCTCCATCTGGTCTCAGAAGAGCCTGCTTTCCATGGACTGCTGATGGTGAGAGCAGGATCTCTGTCCTAGGTGTTGCAGGACAAGCACAGGTGACACCAACAAGCCTTGAGTTGGCAGCTGTACAGGAGAGCACTTCTCTTAGAGGTGCTTTCCCTCAAGACTATACAAGTGGACTTGATGGTAGCAGCTGTTTTCTGCCTTTGGGCTCAGGGTGGCATCAATACAGGGTAGATGGATGTATGGGATTGCTGGAACTCCATTGCATGCCTGAATGTCCTGGTGGTCTTACCATGAGCAATAGCTCTGCTATTTTTACTGCAGTAACACCAGTCCTGTTCTCATGGGGCATCAGGACAGGTAGAAGAATCATTTCTAAGGAGTGTCCAATAGAAACGACTGGAGGTATATTCTGTGAGGTTTGGTGGGAGCCAAGTAGCTCAGAAACAGCAAACTTCTTGCCATGCTTTCATAACCCCAGGATTTTGGGCCAAGGCTACCTGTCACAGCTGCCAGCTCTGCTGCTGGGAATATTCAGTGGGGCCCAGCAAAAGGGGTGATGGAGATGGATGGATGAGTGTGGGGAGCAGCACTGGCAACACAGCACTAGTGTGGTGGCTGCAGGAGACAGTCCCTATCACAGGCTCTTGGATGCATCAAGGAAGCCCATATGGAGGGTCACCACAGGGAATCACTGGTGCTTTCTGATTTTTCTATTTTATGGCTGTGTCTTCTTCTCAGCAGCTCCTCCAGCTGCTCTTTCAGCCCTTCAGTTTGCAGTGGTTTTGCCACTTTTTTGCTCATAATAGGAACAAGAGCAATGAATCCTGGCAGGGATGAGACAGCAGCTTCCATCTCTGCAGCTCTGATGGATGCAGTCAGATTGGATCTGGTTTGGGAAGAAAAGCCTTAAAACCACAGCTTCCTCTCAAACCAGCTTTCAAAATTTGCCCCCAGTAAAATGCAGCCCTGGTCACAGCTGCCACCTCTGCCAGGCTGCACTAGCATGCATGTCCCTTGGCAGAGGGGACATGACCCTTCCCCACAATCCCTGCCACCACGGCCAGCTGGCACTGCCCAGTCAGCTTTTGCTCCCAGAAAGGGGTGATTTTGGGGCCAGATATTTGAAAAATATTTGCAGCAACTGGAGCAGGGATGCTGCCTCTGAGGTTCCCACCAATACACTCAAAAATCCTTTTTGATTAAATCTTCTTTCTGCACAAGACTTGTCAAACACTTGTGAACAACAAGCACATCCCACAGCAAGGACTCTGCCCAGGCCTCTCAAAAGCAGAAGGGGAAACTGGACACACTTTTGAAACTGGTCATGGTGGTTGTCCTCAATTTTTCTGGGTACAATTAATGGGTGACTTAATTCTTTGCTTAATTTGAACAGTTCCATTATGCAGCTGAGGAAGTTTGGTCTCACAGCTGCCTCTCTATATTTGGGCTGTGAACTGCAGGAAGCTGATCAGCAAGACATTGCCACAAATCTTCTCCTGTAACATTTCCCTAGAAAGGGAAACCTCATTTAAGCCTCTCTACCTTCTCTCCTTGCCCCCCAGGGTCTGTACGTACAGGGTGCTCTGCACACACACTCTGGAGCTACATGATCCCGCTCCGTCCCCCCAAGGAAGTTCACTTGCATGGCAGAAGGATAGTGTGATATGATGTGATCTGATGTGGGCTCCAGAACCTTTTAAAACTGCCTTACCCAAGCACAGATAACGACTACTTAAAGTAGCAGTGCCCCCTCCCCAAGACATGAACACATGAACCAGCACAGTACTTGGGTTAGATCCACAATGTTTATTCAGTAGCAATGAAGGTGCAGTAGCCTAAGTGCATGTTTCTGCCTGTGGCCCATGAGCTCCCCACTTCTGGCCTTGCCACTAGTTGCAGTAGTTTTCCAGCTGGTAGAGAGAGCACGTGTTGTGGCAGCATTGCTCCACGATCCCTCGTTTCACCTTCTCAAACTCCTCCTGCTGGAAGGGCAGCTCTCCTATCTCACCGTGCAAGGGACCGCTCACTGCCAGGGAAGAAAAAGATAAGCCATGGGACATGATACCATATCTGCTTGGGATGTTAAGCCCTACAGAGACCCCCTTTACAGACAGCAGATTTTTAAGACAGAGTTTGCTGGAAAATGGGGGTGAAGTTGCAAAGGTTTCCCTGCTGGTAGCACCTTCAGACTCTGTTTTTCTTCTCCCAAATTAATCTTATGGTTCTTAAAAGGAGCCAAGCTGAGTGGATATCAGCAGGGTGCAAGATAGGGGGATACAGGGGCTTTACTGAGGTAGGCATGTGGAGAAGAAGAGAAACACTGCAACCTCTTCTCACCTTGGGGCTCAGTTGTGCCAGGGGAGGTTCAGACTGGATATTAAGAAAAATTTCTTGACAGAAAGAGTGGTGAGGCATTGGAACAGGCTGCCCAGGGAGGTGGTGCAGTCACTGTCCTTGGAGGTGTTGAAAACACGGGTAGATGTGGTGCTTCAGGAGAATGTTTAGTGGTCACAGGGGTGTAGGGCTGATAGTTGGACTTGATGATCTTGAAGGTCTTTTCCAATCTTAACAATTCTATGATTCTCTCTGGGGTGAGCAGCTAGTAAATAAGAGGATAAAATGTGCTGGTCTGCTCCAGAGAGATGAGTTGCTTGGGACTACAGCTCCCCTTGGGGAGTTACCCACTCTTCTGGGAGCCTGGGCAAACAACTGGGGTATCCATGGGACTGCAGGGACAGTCCAGTCCTGGGGCTGGATGCATTTCCCAGCTGGTCCTGAACAGCCTGCTCCTGTTGGCTGCTTAGATGTAACCTCAAGCCAATGGCAAAAGCATTTGTCTGTGTTTTTGTTCACAGCTGGGGATGAGTTTTAGAATGATGAATCGGGTTATTTGGACACAGACAAAACTCAACAGTGTCTTGTTTGCTGGTGGGAACTGGAAAACTGTGGAAAAAAACTGTTCGGGTTTTAGTTGCACAACGAAAATACAGCAAGTGGCAAGTAAAACAGTGATTTTTCCAGCAGGAAGAAAAGAGGCCCTGACAACAAAAAGAAATGCCTGGAAAGAGAGAATGAGAAAAGTTTTCTAGGGCAGTATGAAAGTACAGAACAAGATGCAAAATCTCCAAGCCCCCAAAGTGTGACGCAACGAACGAGACACGAGAGTAACAAGAAGTCATCATGCCAGTGTGCTAGGAGGCAAATTTAGGAAAGGTTCAGCCCAACATTAAGTAGAAGAGGAAATGGCTAGGCTGTGTGTTGTGATTTACTTATCTGCATCCTTCAAGCCAGCTGTGAACAGACTGTAAACACAACCAGCTTGTGTGATAAAGAGGTGGTGGCTCAGGCAAAAATCCTGGAACAAGAGGCAGAAAGTCCTCAGGTACTGGTTGACTCTGATGAAATTATCAATACAGTATTTAGGGAATTGGCTAATGAAACTTCCAACCCATTTGTGGGGGTCTTCAGAAAAAGTTATCAGAGAAGGGAGCAACTAACAGCACAGCTGGCCATTCAAAGCAAATAATGGCAACCCCCCTGCTATGACATTACCTTGCTTGACCTTCCAAAGACCTCTAAGAATATTTCACAGGATGGTTGCAGACTAAGGAGAAGGAAACAGATACAAATGAAACCAATGTGTGATGGGAAGAGAACTGGTGGGAGAGACATATCGTAGTCAGGGAAGGCTAAGTAATGGTCCATCTCAAAACATGAGGGTTCAAAGACTGAGATTTGGCAAAAGTCTATTCTGCATCTATTCAAAGTCTCCACTGGTAGTTTGGAGACAGAAGAGAGAGTGTACTTGCTGGATTCATAGAGGAGCTAAAGTTGAGAGGAACTTCAGGTACTCATCTCCAGGAGAGACATCATCCTTGCATTACAGCTGGAGCATTACTGGTCTTGGCCCCATTTAGACACCAACACCATGTTGAAGGGCAGCCCTCTGGACTACTTTATCCCACCTGCACTGCCATGCAGATAGAAAGGGCTGGACTAGGACAGTGACCTGGGACCAAGGGGTAGCAGGGCTGTCATCTCCTGCCTCCCAGACCTTGTTCTCATCCGTAGTCCAGGAGTCCTAAGAAGGAAAACCAAAGCAGCTCCACCAGCATATCAACACCATGAAATAAGGGCCAATATAAAGCTGTGGGGGCTGCAAGCCTCTTGAAGGGCAAGATTAGTACTAAAAATTACCTTTGAAACTATAGAAATACTGAAAAGATGGGATGCTGTTCAGTAAGAAATAGGAAAGATGGTAAAAGTAGGCAAGAAGACTGCATTGCACATGCAGGATGAGAAGCTGACTGTGGTAGTGGTCCTTCAGGGACTACTGATGCACCCAAGGGAGGGCCAAGGCATCCAAGGCAGACAGTGGTCACTATCAATCAACAGTGCAGTGCTGCTTTGAAAAAGGTTAACAACCTGTGTAGGCAGGAACATGGTGTGAACAACATACAATATCATTTTTCCAGTTTTCTCACTCTTCTTGACACTGGCAAGGCCTCAGCTGGGATCCTGTGCACTTCTTCAGGCATCACCAGTCAGTAAGGATGCAGACAAATGCAGAGCAATTTGCATGGACAAAGATATATGACCTAAGAAGGTAGTGGGGTAGAGGGGGGATGTAGAGGTGTTTTAGCTGAGAGCAGGTTAAAACTAGACATGGGAGAAGTCTTCAGATATATTGAAAAGCAGCCATAAAAAGGAAAGGACTAGACCCTTACTCATGTCCACTATGAAGAAGACAAGAAATAATTTACAGCAAGGATTGTTCATGTTAGATATTGGGAATAAATGCTCAAGAAGAGGGTCAGTCAAGCATGGAATTGTGCAGAAGCAGCTTCCTCACTATAGGTATTCCTCAACATACTAGACAAGCATGGGTCAGGAACAGGATGGGGAAACTGATCCTGTCTTGGGGCAGAAAGAGGCTTCCTGGGTTCCTTCCACCTTTATTTTCTATGAACACTCCCAGCCTGGTTTAATGGCCACAGAAAGAAGTAGATAAGTTTGAGCTTTCAGCCACAATTCCTTCTGCCTCATAAATCCTTCCTTCCTGCCTGCCCTCCCATCTGCCTTTTTAACCTGAAGAGCTTTTCATTTGCGATGTGTTGGTATGTTAGAGGTATTCCTGGCATTCCCCACCAAGGACATTCCTGATGTCTTGTCAAAGATAGGCAGTTGTTGCCTCCTGCATCACATAGCACACGGCTGTGTTCAAGGTCAGCCCAACTTACCTAGAGGCTGCTCAATGTCTCGTCGAGCTTTGGGGGAATAGAAGAAGCCCCTCTCTCCACACACCAGGTAAAGAGCCTCCACCAAGTGGGAGCCACAGAGGTGCTGGTTCACAGCTGCTTGGCTGGTCCCAGGGCTGGAAAGAGCAAGAAGGGCCAGGAGAGGCAGCGATCGGATCCAGAGAGCCATGGTGAGCAGCGTCAGGCCTAGGGCTAAGGGGCAGAAGAGACACAGGGAGGTCTAGGAGGGAGGAATAGGCTGTCATCAAGCATCTTATGTTCCTCAGCTCCTTTGGCGTGAAAATGAGACAAAAGCTAGGCTTTCTAAAGATGACCTAGCCTGAGAGGAAAGGAGAGCTTTCTGCATCAGACTTTACAAGTCACAGTAAGTGACTAATGTTTATAACCAGAAGTCCACCTCCATCCACATGCTCACATCAGTTCTGGCCTTCCTGCTGTCTTTCCCCCAAAGGCCAAACTAGACTGGAGGAGCCATCCATCCCACTGAGTCCTGTAGTACCTGTACCCAGGAGAGCCAAGGTCAGCAGACACCTTCATAGAAAAAACCTCTCTACCAAGTCATGAGGGGCTGTTATTTATGTTGTTGGCCCCAAAATAGCACAGTGGCCTCAAAGACATGAGGAGACCTAATTTTCTTGGACTACTGAGCCAGCAGTTGACACCACCAGCTACATCAGCTTAAGAATACAACTCTGCAAAACAGGTGGAAGTTAAAAAGGCAGCAGTCACACTTACCCCCAAAAATGGCAGCAAGAGGTGGAGAGAAGTTTGCTCTGACAGATGAAGACTGGTTTGTTGGTAGTAATATTCCCATTCTTTCTTTCCTATATTTATATGCTTTACATTAGCCCAAGTAACACAAGAGCTAGCACAAGCCACACCTCCTCAATGACACTCTAGCCAAAATTTTTGCTGCTTGTGCACATTAATGTCCCTCTACGTAGCATCAACTGGTCTTTAAGCAAGTTAAGATAGAAGCAACACTTTGCAATTTCCATCTCATTTCATCCGACCTGTTTTTGCTACCCTGAAGCTCTGTCCAGAGCCATCAGTGATCCTTTTAGCAGGAGAAAATGGTGCTATTACAGCTGCAATATTACTAATGACACTAATGCTTGCAATAGGCACTTGCTGGCATTGAGGTGGCTCAACAGCTGTTTCTGAAATGTAAAATTAAAGGCAAACATGTTAATCTGTTTGATTAATATCACGTTGGAAAGTATTCAGTGATGGGACCAAGTGGTCAGTGAGACCATGCTACTGTCAGGTGTTAGAGGAAGGAAAACACATTATTGGCCTGGGGCCCTGCTCACTGGCCATGCAGTGCAAAGCAAGAGGCACGTGTCCACAGCTTGGGCTGGGGAAGGAACAACATCTTCATCTTGCAGGAGGCCTCGGGTGGTCATTATGGTTCAGTGAGTGATCAGAGTTAGAACATTTGAAATTTGGTATGAGAAAAAATAAGCCTTTCCACCTTTGTCCGCTGAAAGTAAAGTCCCTCCTTCATCTGCCAGGTGCCCCTTCAAATTCCTGTTTGGGATTAAGCACAGCAGAGACTCTCAGCCATTTGCAGGTGAGAGCTCTGAGCTCTTCAGCTCTTCTCCCTGGGGCTGTGCCTGAAATTGTCTTCAATACCAAGAAACATTTCTGGTAAATCCCAGTGAAAAACAGGTCTCCATTCTGGATGATAAATTCACTTTTAATAGGAGCTGATGAGCCAGGAGTCATCCACTGGTCTGATTTTGGCCACAGATCTAGCTATCTCTCCACTTCACAACATTACCCCTTTTTTTTTATATACCTCTGTGCTCAACTTTTCTGCCACCACCGAGATGCTTGTGCCTTTTTCTTCTTCAAGTATCCCTTTCTTTCATTTTTGGGGGGTTTTTTTTGGGTTTTTTTCCTGCCTGAGAAGTCCTATTTTAAATGCTGGGGATTAGGTGATCTTCAGACTTCCTATTGCTCTAGATTTTGAGAGTTCAAGTGCACAACAGCACTGAAAAGGAGATATTTTCATCTATTTGAACTCAGCTTCTTGTTTAACTTTGAATAAGCCTGATTCTCCACACACAATATAAACCAGAAAGAACTTCACCAAAATAACAGAATGCCTTGACACTCAAAGCAGGCCCTTGATTTCTGGAGTGGCCAAAGCAATTTCATCCATCAGCATCTACGAGGTAGGAAGTCTCACATGGCCCTGTCATGGCTCTAAGTGTGAAGTATCATGTGTTTGCCAAATGACTGCAATTGCAAAAAAGGCTCACGAGAAGTGCTAACTCTGATGAGTGCACCGGGAACGGACGCATCTGCTGAAACGGATGCGAGACAAGGTTATCACTGACATCCCCTGCCTTGTAGGCCTTTTGGCCTCCTGCTAATAATTCCAGGTTGTGATGCTCAACTGGAGTTAATAGCATTTCTGCACGGTGTGTAACACTATCTCTGTCTCCCTTCTCCTCAAAAAAGATGCTGGATGTACTTGAATGACCTAGTGGTATATCCATGAAGGTCTCATTTTTCAGCAAGATTTCACTGCAAGGGATTCACTTACTCAGACCTTCTTTCTACTGGGAGATGATGGGGAATTGGTAGCTACATGGGATAAAACCTGGTATTTTACGCCATTTGAAGTAGGTTGTCAAAGCCACGAGCAGAAGCTTTGGGCCACTTATGCTTCCTCCAGAGCACGGAGCCTCCCACCCAGTATCTCACATGAAGGTGACAACTTGTAGAATTACACTGCATTTCCCCTTAGCAGTTGTTTTCCTGCAGCCACCACACTGTGTGAGATCCAAAGGACCTCAGGCCAGTGTTTGTCTTGGAAAGGCTCTGGAGCAGGGTGTTGCCCAGGTTAATCACACGCTGAAATTTGCCATTTAGGGTTTTCCTTCTCGCACTTTTGAACATTAATTGTGGCCATCTAAGCGTGTTTTATTGACAGTGGGATGTTGTAAGGAGGCTCTTCTATCCACTGTCTTTTCCCTTTGGGGTAGCTTTCCTGCTGGGCTTCCCCCTTCTCTGGGGCTTGCCCCACCGATGTAGCAAGAAAAGCTAGTTGACTTTGTATTAGAAGTGGCATCTTATTAGTCTGTTCCTCCTCTTACTGTTGCCTAACCAAATCCTGGAGGTATCTCCAAAAAGCTTGTGGCATTTCTGCTGCATACCCCAGCAGGGGAAGGGCTGACTGTACCCAAGCATTCAGGAATCCCTCTTGGCTCACTGTAGCCTGGGTGCAGAAGTAAGCCAGAAGTTTTACTGGAAGGAAAAAAGATATCATGCTGGCTCAAAGTTCAGCATGGGCCAATTTCTTTTATTATTATTATTCTAGTTTTTCCAAAAGTTTCCTACTATGATTTTTTTTTCCCCTTCCAAAATATGATCTCTTTGATTATTTATTGGGAATTGTATTTTCTTACCATAAAAGGTCCTTTGGAATATGAAAACTGCTAGCATGGAAATAAATGGATATAAAATTGATATAAACTGTGGAAAAATTTGTCTTAGATGGAAAACCCCCATGTCAGCAGCAAACTGAGAGAGGGGCCAACAGGGGAGCCTGTTTCTCAAGAAAAGCTTTTTCTACTGAAAAATCTCAACTCATTCCTTCCAGGTTGGGCTCTCCCATATTTTCATGTGATTACCCAGTGACAGCCAAACGTCCATCCATCGTTTTCACTACATGTGCCTCATG